TATCTACCAATTTCCTATACGGATTTGCCACGTGACGCCCAGCTATGTATAACCTTATATGACTGTGCAGGACCTGGTAGACAACTTCCAGTAGGTGGTACGACTATATCATTATTTGGTAAGCATGGAGTGTATCGACAGGGCATGCTCGATCTTAGAGTATGGCCTGGGATAGAAGCCGATGGTAGTGTTCCAACTAGTACCCCAGGAAAAGCCAGAGATCATGGGAAAGAACAGATGCAGCGGCTTGCAAAGCTGGTTAAAAAGCACAGAAACGGGCAAATAAACAAAATTGATTGGCTGGATAGATTAACTTTCAGAGAGATTGAATTAATCAATGAGAGGGAGAAAAGAGCGTCGGAATACTTATACTTGATGATAGAATTTCCAGAAATAACAATGGACGGTGTACCGGTACGTATGTATACGTGAAATTGTAAACAGACGTATGTGTATAAAGATAAATTAATAATAGTACATTCATTTTTTATTCTATTGTAGTATTCAATTGTATATTATGAAAAAGATGGCGATGAAGTTTTTCAACATAGATTACAGCCAGACGTTGTGACACTTCCTGACTATGAAATTTTACAAGTAAGATTTTACAAAAGAAAATGGCGATATACGTGTCTCTAATTATATTTCGAAAATATAAAGATAATATTTTTGTCCAGGAGAATCTTGTGGAAGCGAAACATCATAAATTGGCGCGCAGTTTACGTAGCGGCGGCAATACTCGCGAATTAAAACCTACCTCGACTGTACGGGATGCCTTGAATACGATATTGGGATATCCCCCGACAACCGCACTTACTACTGAGGAACAAGATTTAATTTGGAAGTACAGATTTTACTTGTCTAGTCAGAAGAAAGCGTTGACCAAGTTTGTTAAGTGCGTTAACTGGAAAGTCGCTGGTGAGGAACGCCAGGCTCTGGAAATGCTAGCTTTATGGGCTCCACCGGATTCCGAGGATGCCTTAGAATTATTAGGACCCGCGTTTACTCATCCGGCTATTAGGAGATATGCGATTAGCAGGCTTAATCAAGCTCCTGACGATGATTTAATGTTGTACTTGTTGCAATTGGTACAAGCGCTAAAGTATGAAGACTTTGAAAGCATTAAGATTGCTTATCAAGCGATGTTGAAGGAGAAGGAAGAAAGAGTAGAATCGAAAAATTGGAGCACTGAAAAACTTGAGAGAAGCGAAAGATTGGAAAGAACGGAGAAACTAGAGAAAACTGACAAATTAGATAAGGACATAAGAAGCAGCGATTCTACATCTACCCCGGTTACAACTGTGAGTCAATGACTCTTTAGAATATGTGTGCATTACGTTATTATCCATTTCGTCCTACATGTAATTGATTTTACATTTATTTATAGTCTAGTGAATCAGAGAGTCAACTATCAACGAGCCAAGAACCGCTTATGGATTTAGCATCGTTTTTAATTACTCGCGCTTGTCAGAATTCAATGCTGGCTAATTATTTCTATTGGTATCTCTCTATCGAATGCGAGGATCAAACTGATCCTGCGATAAGCGCTAAGCAAGATACGCGAGTTAGGGAAATGTACGTTACCGTAATGAAAATGTTTTCCATGATGTTAGCGCAGGGGAATACCATCTGGCAAAAAAGAAGAGCATTCCTCTTACGACAGAAGGTGTTCATCGATCAATTGGTATTTCTGGTAAAAGCGGTAGCGCGAGAAAGTGGAAATCGGAAGAAAAAAACTGATAGATTGAGAACGTTACTCACTGATCCAGATCCGGCGTTCAAGATTAATTTCTCGAATTTCGAGCCGATACCTTTCCCTTTGGATCCTGAAATTTGTATCAAGGGAATTATGCCGGAAAAGTACACATTCAAGTTGTTTGACTATCGCGGTATATTACTAATGTTCATATATATATATATTACAATTGTAATGTTTACTTTATTATTAATTTTATAGAGCAAGTCTTTTCAAATCTGCGCTCATGCCATCGAAACTCACATTTTTGACGACAGATAATACCGAATATATTGCCATCTTTAAACATGGAGATGATTTACGACAAGATCAATTAATTTTGCAAACGATAGCGCTTATGGATAAATTATTAAGAAGGGAGAATTTGGACTTGAAACTAACTCCGTATAGGTAAAAACTTGTTATGTAAATGAATGATATTACGTAAGATTATTAATAACTAATGACTCGATCACATTATTCAGAGTACTCGCAACAAGTACCAAGCATGGTTTTGTACAGTTTATCGAATCTACAACGGTTGCGGAAGTTTTAGCTAGCGAAGGCTCAATATTGAATTTCTTTCGAAAGCACCATCCTTCTGAAACTGGACCTTACGGGGTAGTACCTGAAGTCATGGACACCTATGTTCGCAGTTGTGGTAAGCATCATTCATACAACTCTACGAAAAACGAATGAATACACATCATTTAAATGTTACTCATTAAAATTATGCAGCTGGTTATTGTATAATCACGTATGTATTGGGTGTCGGCGATCGTCACTTGGATAATTTGCTTCTCACAGCATCAGGTATGTATTCTTCAACGATTTTGTTAGAGAGATTGTCTCTAACAAAATAAATATACGCAAGTATGCAATATTTTTTAATTCACAGGCAAACTCTTTCACATCGATTTTGGCTATATTTTGGGTAGAGATCCAAAACCTTTGCCCCCTCCAATGAAGCTTAGTAAGGAAATGGTCGAAGCTATGGGCGGAATCGGTTCCGAACATTATCATGAATTCCGAAAGCAATGTTACACGGCGTTCCTACATTTGCGTAGACATGCCAATCTGATATTGAATCTGTTCTCGCTGATGGTAGACGCCAGTGTGCCTGATATCGCCCTGGAACCGGATAAAGCTGTGAAAAAAGTCCAGGATAAATTGCGATTAGATTTGAGCGACGAAGAGGCTGTGCATTATGTGCACAATCTTTTAGATTTGTCGGTGACCGCGGTGATGGCTGTACTAGTAGAACAACTCCACAAATTTGCACAATATTGGAGAAAGTAATAAGACGTAATCAATGTACAGTGAAATCATACAAATTGTGTTCCTTTCTTTAAAAAACGATAGATTATGTATTGTTATATTGTATATAAAACGACTACAGTGTGTTTATAACATATTAATATAATTTATTGTATTTTGGGAGTATTTTAGGTAATAAATCTTTGATAAGAATGATTTTCTCTTGCTCGATATATTTTTCCGAGTTTCGATAATGATTTGGTATCTTTGTGAGCGCTCTGAACTTGACTGCGTATAATTATTACGTTCAAATTTACATACAATATAATTACGAAATCTAGACGAATTTCCAAAAAGCATTTTATACACGCGCGCGCGCACACGCACGCACACACAATATAAAACTTGTTTCACCAAAATTTTAATGAACGTGCCTAAATCATGAATATATGCTATTTTTTGTACTATCGAGAAATTTAGCTTACTTACCGTGATAAGATGTCAGTGGCGGAAAAGCAACAAAACATATTCATTGCACGTGTAATCAGTTATGTAAATACTCGTATATTTATTTTATTTTTAATTACAAGTGTATGTGGTGCACACAATAGAAATAAATGTAGATAATATTGTTAGTGTTGAAAATATCAGATTGTTATCAACATGTGAAACGCAGAGGAAAGCTACTTAACTCGTATCACTTTATACTATTTATGAATTTAATAAAATCAACAAATACATATACATATTTTATCTTATACATCAGATAGGTTCTTTTTCGTTTTTTAATAGAAAAAATGTAGCTTTAATTTTCCATTTTGCAGCGTATTATATGTTTCTGTAAATATATACGATTTTCATATAATTTTTTTGATACATACGTACACACACACGTATATACATCCATATCAAAAGAATTTAAAGTTAATTATAGAACATTAACAATTCAGTCCGTTCTTGAAGATTTTTCTCAGATTTTTTTCTTATATATTGCGATATCATATCGAGCTATGTTTGACATGAGAATACACACATTTTTTATTTCCAATATCAACACAATATGTACACGCGTGACCATAATTAAAAATGCCACGAGAAATAAAAACATTGATTTATTTTTAATATAACGTGAGACTATAATAAAGAATATAATTTTTCTTATGACATTTTGATAAATCTGCCTTGCTTGAGGATTGTGCAGTAAAAATCCTCAAAAACCGTTTCCAGTATATTTTGCAATTACAATTTCTTCGCGTTTATGAACGTTCTTCAGGCTAACTTAGGCACGTCTCAAACACGACAGATTTTGTAACAATAAAAATCTTTGCTCGCTCTCTTCACTTCAATCATCTCATCAACATACAAGATACACTTTACATAAGTTGAAATAAGCACATTTTTATTTCCTATATATATATATATTTTATATATATATTATATATATATATATATAATTATATATGTATATTTATATATAGTTTGTATTGACTCTACAAACTAAAACATAAGCTAGAGAATGACCCTCGTTTCGCTCAGAGTTTTGCACATTCTTTATCGCGATTCATATCGCTATTTAAAAAAAAATACACTGTTCACATATTGAGCAAAGCGAGGTACGGCGCAGTTTTTATTTGCAAGTCTTTAAGATAAACCGAGAGTCTCTTCGTTTCTCGCATTTTCACCGAATTGTACAGCATATATCGTTATGGATATATAATCAGAAATGTTGTGCTTTTTGCTTCTCAGGACCGTAGAAAACTAAACGGTTGTCACAGATGTAAAAGAGTGAGTGGAACAAGCGAGGACATTAGTAGTCTCGGCTAATATTAAAGAGTAAAGACTAAAGGGACTTCAGGATCTCCATTAGATCTGCTACGACTCTTGTTTTGTTTTAAACAATCACACATGAGCTCTTAGTACTGTTACAAATGAATAATTGCTTACATTACGACTTGACATTACAGAGCAGCAGTGAAATCGTGGGATGTTAATTATGATTTTTTTGTTGTTGCAATCGTATTGGTTTGACTATCAATCATCATGCTTTTTATCTTGGCATGATAAAAGAAATCTTCATCGTGCGATTATCACTGCGATTATCACTATTACTCCACCGTAGATATAGAGAAATAACGTGACGGAAATCGAGAACCGTTCAGCTGACATAAATCTTTATGATACTACAAAGAAAGAATAATAATGTATCTTTTATATATCTAAATAGCTTGCTTTTCTTCATTTACTCTAGCGATTGTACGGACATTCCTTCTTTTTTCTTCATATAAAATGTCGATGACGATAAAATCAAGACCACAACAACATTTTAATGCAATAATGAAACTGTGTAATATCGAATCCTAAGATCCACGGATTACATTCGGAGTAAATTCTTTTATCTTCTGTTTCCTTTTTTGTTTCAAAATACACGTATGCACATGCGTTCGCATACAAGTGCATTCGTCTGTACGTTTAGAAGCCTAGTACAATAAAATCTAACGCCAAAGTTCAATTTAGTCTAAGTCTAAGCACTTACTTAATATTATAATTAACGCGTTATATTTACATTTAAAAATAGATTCAAGAGTTCATATGTGGTACGCTTCTGTGTACGCGACAGTCCACCGATAGTCTATTTCAAGTGAAAATTTGTATTGTTACCACTGCCTCCCACGGTATATTACCTGTCCATAGGCCTAGTGGCTGGCACCGAGCTTTCCACAAGATCATGTTTCTCAACCGGCGAATTTTCTAAAGTGTAGTCCACCGGATATTTTTCGGGATACGTTGGGGTGGCCTCACCCTGCTGTCTCAGTTTCAGTTCGCTCGATCTCTCCTGATAGAAGCTTTGCGACGCCTCAATGTTTGGCGACGAAGACGACTGTTCCGTCTTCCCTTCCAGATCGTCCGTAGAATAGTAACTTTGGCTCGCCTCGCTTTCGGGTCTACTGGGATCGTAATAGCCGGGCGAGATACTATGACTGGTGTAATTGGGCGTCTCTTCGGTCGGGGCAAAGTAGCTTTGACTCACCTCCTGTGGATTGCCCTCGTAATAGCCACCGGGTGTGACATGCTCCTCGTGCGGATCCTCTTCCAGTCGAGAATTCGCATCCTGATCTACAGACTCATAGTAACTCGCCGTTACTTCCTGGTGATGAGCGTAATAGCTCGATGGTTCGTTCCGGTGATGATCGCTGCTCTCCGTGACAAAGTTTTGCGAACAGGTCTCCTCCAGGCCGGGCATCGAAATCGGCACTTCGTACGACGTCGAGACGTTTTGCTCGACAATCACTTGGTCCTCGTAGCTGGAAGTAGGCACAGAATCCACATGATGGGTCGACGTGATATCAGGATTCAGATTATACGACGAAGAGGTCGGGATCTCCGGCACACCGTTATCATGGATGTTAGGATGCTCCGCGTTGACCGACGTGTCCGGTATCACGCTGGACGAGGCGATGTTGAGCTCTTCGCATGGCGGTATTTCATATGATGACGTGCTTATCGCACTCTCCTGATCTTGATCACGCTCCTGATTCTCGGGTGTCTCCGGTACGTAAGACGAGCTTGCTGTTTCGTCCTCGTTCAATCCGGAATTATTTGTCGACACCGATGATGTGCCTATACCATCAACACCGACGTCATTCGACTGTGACGGTATATTGCCCTCCTGACTGATCTCCGCATCGATTTCCAGATTCTCCGCCACACTCTCACCTTTGTCGACTTCGTAACTTTGCGTAGGGAAGCTCTGATCGTCGATCGCCTCGTCGACACTCGGTCGCTCCACCTGACTTTGCACAATCTCATTGAAGGACTGCGTTGGCGCGTTTATATTGGATTCCGCCAAAGCTTCATAAGACTGGGACGCCTCATTGATCTTTGTATGTTCAAATGATTGTGACGGTGGTTCCGCCACGACAGTCTCCTCGTCCATCTCCATCGGTTCGAACGCGATCGACTGCGTGGCTTCGCCTGAGGAGCTCTCCAACTTGGAGGCAGATTGACTAGGTAGATCGGTGGAATCGCTGCTAACAGACACGTTGAACTGCTCGTACTGAGACTGCGAAGGCGTTTCTTGACTAGCTTCCGCGATTACCTCCTCCTCTTCTTCTTCCTCAAAACGTAGTTCCATGCTCTGTCGCAAACGACGTCTGTCCGATTCTTCCTGCGACGATGGCTCGTCCCTTTGACAATCCTTTATACTTTTCTTCGTGTCAATCGTGCTTCCGGCGAATAGATCCGGTTCGACTGCTTCATCCAATTCCATAGTTGCTTCATTCGAAGGATTTAATGATTCGGCTGATAAAACTCGCGAAGCTGTTCTATGGGCTTCCTTTTGATTTGACGTACCTGCTGCTTGCTGGTCTACCGGCTTAGCTTTATTGCTAGAGTCTTCGGAAACCGTTAGCTGTTTCAACTTATCTATCGTCTCGTGCGACTCGCTCGCAGTTTTATGTTCGCTCGAGTCCGTCACTTCGTAGGTCAGTTGTTCTACGGATTCTATCTGCGAATTAGATTCGGACGTAATCAAGGTGGTTTCGTCTATTGTCGATAAACCGGTAATCGACGTATCGTTTTCTTTGTTTTCCATTTCTTGCACACCTTCCATTGTACTCGAAGCTGTATCTTCGTTAGCTTTTGATTGCTGTAGAATCAATTCTTCAGATGTGTTAGAAACTTCCTGAGAAGAATAAACACCCTGCAACGTCGGAGACTGTTTCTCGTCCAAATTCTTATTGGTCGACATAATCAGTTTTTGAGGAGAGACTGAAACTTGATTTTCCGGCACCTTGGAGACCAACATCTCCGATACTGGCACTTCCACGAACGTTTGCTCAGCGACGATCGTTGTAGTTAATTGCGAATTGTCCGCGTACGTATCGTCAATGATCGGCATTGACGGAGTAGTTTGTACTTGCGCGTTCTCCAGGACATTGTTCGGCATTGCGACCGTGTACGAGGTTGACGGTGTAATCGCGATCTCAGCGCTCTGCACATTCCGCGTCTCTGTAGTCGCGATATTATCCTCCAGATTTGATATCACCAAGTATTGAGTACTTGCGGGAATCTCAGTGTGAGCTATCTCTTCGCTCGCTATCGTCGCCGGACATTCCATAATCTCCCCGATGTCTGGCATCGAGTTACCAGGGATATGAATCTGTGTCTCTCCTGTGGCGGATATGTAGGAGATGCTGGGATTCGTAATGGTGATTGGTAGTTCGAGGGAAGATGGAATAGTGGAGACGACCGATGTGGTAGTCGGATCCGTTGACTGAATCGGTATATTGCTCGGTACTTCGAGTGGCGTCATAATCGGTTGATTTAGAGTTAACGAAGTCTCGAGCACCGAGGGCGAGGATATTGGTTCTGTAGGCGGTATGATGGTCGACTGCAGTATCGTCTGATTGATAAGACTCGTCTGAGTCAAACCAGTTTGGGTCATGACGCTACCTGCTTGATTTTCTGGCAAACTGATCTCCTGCTGAAAATCAGTATTAGCGAGAGCAGCCGCCAGGATGTCCTGATTGGACGTTTGTATCACCTTTGACGAGGGAAAACTATCACTCACGATCGCCGTTTGACTAGTCTCTGTCACGCTGCTGGTTTGAATGTTCGGTAAGACACTATTGTCGAATTGAAGAACAATGTTGTCTAGAGCTCCGACCTCCCCCAGAGAACTGGGATCTATGTACAAGGTTCTCGTGCCGTCAGGATTCTGCGTAGTTCCTTCTAATGACATAAGAGTATTGTTATCGAGTGGTTGTATCTGTCCTTGTTCATCTATCGTCACCAATACATAAGTTTGCGTGCCATCGCTGCTTTCTGTCGGTAGAGCCATAATCTGAGGCTGGGCAGCTACCTTTGTTTCACCTACTTTTTCCGTATTTTCAGTTTGAAGTTTCTCGACTTTACCTTGCTCTTTCTGAGGAGCATCCAGGATAAGCTGAAGATCCGTTTTTGCCTTCTTCTCTGATTCTAGCGAGGATAATGTAGCGGTACTACTAGTCACGGTGACATTTATGTTCGACGTGTTGGTAGTGGTGGTGGTGGTGGTGGTGGTGGTCAACAGATGTTTTTGCGCCTTACTTGAGGTCTGAGATCCTTTGACAGAGGACTTGGAAATTGTGGGAGCTGTCTGTCTCGAATGGGCGACCGTTTTGGCGATCGGCGAAATTGCAACGGTGGTCGTCATGGTGCTAGTGCTGTTGGTGACGATCGTCGTGGTAGACGCGACGACCGTTTGTTTCGTTTGAGCGCTTTGCATCGTTGGCACAGCCGAATCTTGCATTTTTTGGACGACGATCTTTTGAGTTTTCAACTGGCGACTGCTAGTTCGAGGAATAATGACTTTTTGTACGGTTGGCGACACGGCAGCTTTGCCCTTCGGTTGCATTTGTGGCACCATTGTTACCATTTGTTGCGTATCACTCGGCGAAACGACGCCTTGAATGGTAGTACCAGGTTGCACCATCGTTTGCTTAATAATCTTCTTACCATGCGACATACTTTTCTGAGATATCATACCAGTGCTAGCGGTACTTTGGAGAATCAACGTACTGCTCGATGGTGATTTCGAAGATAGCGACGCCTTTGTTTGTGAAGCCGACATCTTTGTCGGCACTTTTGAAGACTTTTGCAGTATCGGTAGCTGTACCTTTTGCTGTAACTGATATTGCACCTTACCGCCTTTAACCGGACTCTTAGCAGCGATGGCTTTAACCTGCTGTCCGGTTATTGGCGTTAGAATGGTGCCTTTGTTACTGACGACAGCTTGCGTGCCTAATATGGTTTTACCGGTGATGGTTTGAGACACCGGCGCCAAGATCGCTTTCGTGCCACTTAGACCTTGAGCTTGAGGACTCAAAAGAGTCGTGCCACCTTTGGTAACTAGAGTCTTCGAACCGATGATGGTTTTCCCGCTCAAAGACGAAGCGCTGATCGGGGTATAAATGCCGTCCTTGGTGATGATTCCCTGGGATAACGTACCTAATAACGCTGTTTTACCGATAGTACCTGAAATCGGAGTAAGTACGCCCTTAGATGTGATTATGCTCTGCGTATTGATGATCTTATGACCACTGGTAGCCAATTTAGATGTGGTAGGCGAGCCAGCAGCAGCGATAGTATCAGCCTTTGGCGCAATGACAGTCTTGGTAGCGATTATACCACCTTGTGGATTAATCGGACACAGCAGATGACCCTTGCTCGTCATGATCTTCTGTACTTTGGCACTCAGAGTCTTGGAAATGTTCAGCGGCACCATCTTGGTCTGGCAAGACTGTCCTGACGTCAATATAACGACTTTTCCACCTTGTTGAATCACTTGTGCGTTGCCTGCCGCTTTGCCACTAGTTGAAATGGCAACTTTCTGTTGAGTGCCAGACTTACCTTGAACACTGTAACGCAGTTGTTGGCCACCCGCGGTTTGCACGACGACATATTTTCCTGGAGTAGTACCTTTCTGCGTCAAGAGGGTTGGCGTTTTACTAGTCGGTTGAGCGCTTTGAAATTTCAAACCTTTCACCCCACCGGTGAGCGGCGGTACCAATGATTTAACATTCGAAACGGTTGGTTTTGCTTTGCTCTTGGTCTTCAATATCGCTGGTACACCGCTCTTTTTCTTTGTCGGCGACATTTCCACTGCGGTAGTCTCTTTCGCGATCTTGAATTGAGTTTGCTGAGTGGGCGATACTATCCGCGTGGTCGGAGTAAAGGAGAGCGTGGTCGGGATCGAGCTGGAAGCTGGTATAATGGAAGATATAACAACGGGCATCTGTTCTATACTCTCTGGCGTTAACACGTCTTCGCTTAAAACAAATGGCATTGAGTTGATGTCTAGTTCCATGTCCGCGAGACTTTGAGCACTCTGTTGTATGTATTTCTCTGTTACCGGCGCAGTCATGATAGTTTGCAACGTAGCTTCGCCTTGTTCTTTATTCTGTGCCTCCAAAAGCGCATCTGTTTCCTCTGTCTTTAATACTTGAAGCTTTTTAGTCAGACACATGTGCGAACTGGACTTTATAGCAGTTTTTACCTTACTGTTCGATGGCAATGTTTCTATTTTAATTATCTTTGCTTTGGGACCGCTTCTTTGATCATTTTTCTTCGTAGCATCTGCTTCCAATTTGTGCTTCACACCTTTCTGTGGCGGAACTTTATCGAGTAACTTTGTCTTCAGAATTTGCACTGGTTCAGTCAACGTTACGCTCTCTATTATCCGTGGCATCTCGCGCTTTTTTACTGGTACACTGATATCGGACGATAAAGATGTCGTGGCTATGGACATCTTCGGGATTTCATCCAATTTTTTGACATTGGTACTCATACTATTATTTTCAGAAACGGGAAGTGTTTCCGACTGAAGTAACGATTTGGATGTGACAACAGATTCGCTGGACATCGATTCAAGTTGATCGTCAGTTGTTTCGAGGACAGCGTCTCCAATTTTGGTATCGATCTCAACATTTTCTTCAATAACCATTTCGACATTTTCAAGATCACTCGCAATAGATACGTTTTCTCCAGTTCGAATATCTGCAGGTATTTCTGAATCTTTGTTAAAATTGTCAATTTGTTTACTTTGCGCAGATACAGTAACGATATTGACATCGATTCCTTCACTTTTTCTCTTAGCGGTCTTGTTCTCCTTTTTCTCCTTGGATAGTACGTCAGTGTTTTCAACTATCTTCTTTTTATCCATTTGTAAAGTCTTTAGGAAAGCCTCCTGGAATATATTAGTCGATTTTTCCTCCAAGAACAAGTCCTTGTCTTTTCTTCCTTTACCCGTTTCTGGAGTAAATTTACCTTTGTATCTCGTTTGCATTGAGGATCTCTTGGGTGTCAATTGTTGTTCGATTAACGTTTTCGTTGGACTCTTTGGTGTATTTCTCGCAGCATCTGCTTTAGGTGACTTCAATTTAAACTGATTGACATCCTGCATCTTCTGCGATACTTCCTCCATCAATTGCATCTCTTGTTCTTTTACATCTGATTTATCTGTATTTTTCTGCGGCTCGAAACTTTTTAGATCTCCTCGTTGTTCATTTTCGATGTTCAAAAATTTACCAATATCGTCTGCTACTTTGCTCGTCGTCGCTTCTCTTTCATCTTCGTTAACTTTTTCATCAATATTACTTTGAGATTCAGATTGAGGCTTGAGTTCAATCTTGGGTTCAGATTCGACTTTACATTCAGACTCAAGTTCAGACTTGGACTCAGGCTCCGCTCTTTTATTAGTTTGAATATCTGCGTCAAAAAAATCTATCTGTGACAATTCAAATTTTTTAATTTGGGATTTCTTCGGTGGCAACATATCTACGTTGGTTTTCAGGGCATCTTGTTGTATTTCAACTTTATCAGCATTTTCAGTTTGCTCTACGATCGATGGCTTTTCGTAATCTTTAAAGTCTTCGATTTCTTTAGTTTGTTTTGACGATCCTTCTTTCTTCTCCATTTCAGATGATTCCTTCACAGCTTCGTCTACATCGAGTCCTTTTTCCATTTTATGTATTGCTTCTGACTTTTGAAATGATAATGTCATCTCTACATTTTCCGAATATACATCTATGTCAACTTTTTCAGCTACTTCGTCCAAAGATTTTACTTGTTCCTCGAGTAAGTCATATTTCATTTCTATAGATTTGCTTTCTTCTTCTTCTTTTTCGGAAAAAGCCTCCTTTTTGTTCTCAGATGCTTTGTTTTTTATATCGATCGATAAGATGTTGACATTATTTTCAGCAACAGTTGGCGTTTGATCGGATACTTCTATTTCTTGCTTATCCATTTGAGTAACGAGTTCATTACTCCTCTTGTCAACTTCTTTAGAACGTCTGCCTCTTCTAGATTTGCTTGTGACTCTTTCAGAAGTTTTAGACTCACTTTCAGATTGACTCTCGTCAGTCCTGAACGCTTTATAATCAGGCTCTTGAATGTATATACCAGATGCCAGGTATTTCTTGTTCGGTTTGCGTCTTCTACCGCTATACGAACGATCTGTATCGGAATCTGAAGTCTTTCGTTCAATTTCAATCCTTTCGCTCACACGAATTCTCTTGCTGCCTCTGTTAGCTTTCGTCTTTGGAGTTTTGTTCGCACTGGTACTCTCACTAGTCGATTTCGCGTTCTTACGTGGTCGGCCTCTTCCTCTTTTAACTAATGTTTGTTCAATACGGTTTTCCGAGAGACTATCAACACTTTGATCTAACATATCAGTATCTGAATTTTCACTTTGTTCCGGCACAGTCTCTGCAGATTCGGATACAGTCTCATCCTCTGTTTCTGTCGTAAATCGTTCCGACAAAGTATCGTCTGCTTCTTTCATCGAAGCGTTGTCATTAGATTCGGCAATCACATCCTCCGAGTCAGTTTTTTCAGATTGAGGTAAATTTTTATCATTAGACTTGATATCGACTTCGTCCTTTACTGACATTTTGTCCCTCTTTACATCGGGCGCAATTTTAGACGCAGTCTTTTCAACATCCTTTATATTCGAAGAATGATCATTGTCATCATCTCTTCTCTCAACTTGAATTATATCCACAATCTTCACCTCCGTTTCGCAAGTGTTAATATTAGACTTGTGTTGATCATCTTCGGATTGCTTAGTTTTTTCTTCTTCTTCGTTTGTATCTTCATCAAATTGTTTCAATTTTGTATTACCTTGTACACTCTCATTGAGCTTTTCATATACTTTGGCTTCATTGTCTTGTCGATAGTCTCTACCTTGTATTATTTCTATTATTTCGTCAGCTTTTAATTCCATATTTTTACCCAATTCAGATATTTTGTCGGCTTCTTTCCTAATTTCATTTTTCAAAGCTTGACTCATTTCAAATTCTTTGATAATTTCTTTCTTCAAAGATAAATTCTTCTCGCCGAAAACTCGAGGAATCTTTCGTACAGGCGGTATAGAAGGTTCGCTCAAATCATCTTCATCGAAATCAAAGCACGATAGTCGTGATTTTTTGTCATCTTTATCGGAAGCATGTTTGCTCTCACTATCAGAACTTGAAGTATCCCTCCTCTTTTGGGACTTGTTTAACGTTTCATTAGATTTATCAATAGTATTGGTATCCTTTTCAGAATCTTCAAAATCTGATTTTTTATCAAAACTAAATTGGATATTCCTAGAAGCGTGCAAACTATCCAATGAACCCTGCATCATGCGTATCGAAGCTAACTGTTCGGTTTCCTTAAGTAGTTTCTCTGTTTCTTCTAGAATTTCATTATTCTCCACAGTTGCAGTACTCTTGTGCTCCTTGCCATCGTCGAAAGTTGACTGATTCTTTGTGGGTGAAGAATCAGTACTTAACCTATTATTTAGGGAATTATTTGTATCAGCATTCATTTCTTCATCTGATTCGTCATCCCAGTCGGCCAACAATTTTTCCCGTAATTCCGGATCGCTCTTCTTTTTCTTATTGGATTTCTCGGCCTGTTTCGAGTGCTTCCGTTTAACTGATTCCTGCCTATTCTCCGTCTTCTTTTTACTTGATGGACCTTTATCTTTCTTCACGTATTTTCGTTTTGGTGTGCTTGTATCAGAAATCCTACCGTGCGACTGAGAGTACGTTTTCACCTTCGATCGTGGCATTGGCGAGTCATCGGACCGGTGACTCTTTATGTGACAAATTATGACGTTAACACGCGAAGAAGTAAAATTACAAAAATGACAACGATATACTGGGGAACCTGCATTAGTCGGAGTCGACGGTAAACTATTGGGTTGCTGACGAATACGGACCTCGTGATCACTCTCTCCACGTAAAAAACGTGGATGTGTGATCTTCCTCATGATCTCTGAACCATCGCTCCGCCTATGTCCTTCCTCGCGATCGCGTTTTTTCTTTGGAATTTTCTTCTCACCAAACAGAGCTGAGATATCCGGTTTCTCTTCAGGACAAAATTTCTCCTGATTCAATATATCGGGATTTCCTCCTGTTAACTTCTCTGCCATCTCCACGTCACCTGGGAATTTGTCCATATAACTGCTGCCATCTTTACTCTTGATTCTGTATTTATCTATTCATGCAAAACAAAAGTGATTATTTTAATATAGAATTTGACTATAAGAAAATTTATATGATTCATTATACTTACCCATACCCTTTTTAATAAATTCATCTTTAAGCGTACAATTGTACTTGTAGATCTGTTGATAGTTTTTGACAAATTCACTAAAAGAATAATTAAATTTAAATCATCACTTTACACAATTTGTCTTATATATAAGAAAATTAAAATTTGTGTAACTTACTAGGTGTCTTCTTGAAAAAATTTTACAGCAGCTATTAATGGCTTCTTTTTAAATTCAGTTTGTATTTCTTCTGGTAAATTATCCAGCCCGATGACTTGACCAGGCCACCAGCAAGCTCCCAATTTAACCCAAACGATATCTCCATCCAAATAATTGATTTCTGTTTGTTCACACATTTTGTATTGCAAAGTATTTCATTCGAATCTTTTATAAAATCAACATTGGTCAATAACAAGAGTTTCTTCAAAATTTATTTCTCTAGAGAAACATTAGCACGATTGCCCAAGATCGATATGCTATACAACAAAAAAAATTTCTATAAATTAAGCAATCTCAGTATACAATTAAAGTATTTCATATGTAATTCTTGTTCAGGAGCACATAAGTACCTTTGTAACTACATGCAAACAGGTAATACAAGCAAATGTTGTGGCAGCTGAAACTCGGCATCAGATAGCTCTGAATCGCTCTCTTCTAAACAGTAATTATTTATTTTTCTTCAAATGAAGAAAGAATTATTGAATATATCAAGTATAACCATGCAGATATCTTCGTTTATAAATAATTAATAGTCGCAAGATTTCAAAATACACTCGAAGTTGTCAGAACTATTACTGCAAGTCTGTCGAAACGTTTCGTTGCAATTGTCTCTCGAGCGAGTGTCCCTCCAGAATCCCAAGCATGCTCGCTGCAGGCGACAATCATAAAAATAACACTGGTTCAGAATGAAGCTCATGTATCAGTATAATCGGCGCAAAGAGGTCCACGGTGTGCTCGTGAGAAATCCAAAATGCATGACCCGACTGCGTGATGGTGTAGCTACCGCCTCGATGCTGACGTTGCTGGCGGCAGCTACGTCGGGCATCTTAAGCCCGTGAGTTGTCGTGAGTCGCGTGACGAGCGATCAGCCTTCAATATTTTCCTTTCCACACGCACCTTTAGACAACACTTATCGTTTCAGGAATACCGCCGGCTAAATGCGACGGTCACACTCGCGCGCGTAGTGCGCGTGTGTGTGTGTGTATACAGTATATGTAGGAAGCGTCGGAAAGTGTCGGCGAGCGTCGTATCCCAGGAACGCAACGGTGAAAAGCGCGAGTACGCGCGCGCGCGCGCGTTCTCTCTCTCTCACTCACTCTCTCTCTCTCTCTCTCTCTCTCTCCCTCTCCCTCTCCCTCTCTTTCGCTTGATCGCTCGCTCGTTCTCACCGTATTCCTTATTTCTCCTCTTTGTCCCTTTCTCGTTCGTTCTCACTCACTCGTACGCAAACTCGCTCGCTCGCTTTTTCTCGCGGCACCCAGCTCCGTGCAGCTCCGCCGTATCTCCGCCTCGCGTAACGCACACCGCTCGGAAGCTCCGAAACCGCCAGATACACCACGATTCACGTGATTTCGTCGACGACAACACATGCGACCACAGAGTAAAACAGGCTGAAGCCTGTGCGAAATGTACTCGACAACAACGTTGCAAAAATGCTACGTCGTTCGCGCAACACGACGTACGTTATACGTACATATTCGGTTACCCGACTTGCAACGGGGCCTCACATTGCCTCACCTCATACGATAGGGTAGATTCCTAGATGGATTGGAACGGTTGGAATATTATTTAGAGTACCTAGCTAGTACCTTCTCTCGTTCAATCGTGACCAACAAGTCTGCCAACGGATTAGCAGTGCCAATCAGTGCCAATCGCCAACGCCGCGATTCGCGCGTCTTTCGAATTTCATCCAAATTTCCTCTTCCGCGATAACGAATGTTTCTTCTCGGATAATTCTAAAAGTGGAATCACACGATGCTTGATTTCTTGAATGACGAGCATGCATGCTGCTATGCTTGCTTTGATGCATGTCTAAAACCGGTTCTATATTAATTGCAAGCTGATCGCAAGTTTGTCGTGACAGCCAATATGAAGCGTTGATCTCAAAATGCAAGCTTCAGATTGGCTGTCGCAACAAACTTGCGATCGGCTTGCGTCATGTAGAACCAGCTTAACGTTTGACAAATAACTACGAAATTAGCAATTATTTCTTTTGATTGGTGCAAGAAAGTAAGCTGTAAAGTAATCCATAATAAATATAAAAATCATGTATGATGTATATCATACGTAGAATCCCTATAACAGTCTGGACGTTGCATGCAAAGACATAGAGAATGGACTGCGCGATCCGTGTGCCAAAATGGCCTATAGGGATGAGAGAGAGGGATCGTAGCAACCGTCATTTCTATTTCTTTCCATTGGGTGACACCCAGTTGGACACGGCTCAATTGGACTCAAGCCACTCACAGCGCTTGAGACTACAAAGCTCCTAAGCACCGGTCGCTGTGATTGGTGGTGTCCAATCGAGCCGTGGTCAATCGGGATCACCCCCTTTTCATTCAATGGTGTAATGGGAGAGAGAATGAGAGAGAGATTAGCCGTCTCCCACGGTCCCCTCTCTCTCATTATTGTCGACCACATTTGATACACTACTTATAGCGTTTTCGGCCCGATCAGGTTTGCACCAACCTGGGTTGGATTAATCTTTTCTATTGGTTGACGTCACACGCTCTACCAATAGGAGAGCGCAAAACGCCATTAATCCAACCCAGGTTGGTGCAAACCCGGTCGGGCCGAAAACGCTATTAGATACGGATCGCGCAGTCCATTCTCTATAGACCGGTATTCATAGTCAGATTTTATATTCAGGACCGTCTTAAGTACGGTCTTAAGAAGTCACGAACCAATCAAAAGGCTGCATTAGCGTCTTAAGACATTACTTAAAATGATCTTGAAATAAGAATTAACTATGAATACCGGCTTATGTCTTTGATTGCATGCCCGTCCGCCATTAGCAGTCTGGAAATACCGTATCGCCGTCTTTGCCACGCAATTCAAATGACTGCTTGTTGTTATCACTAAACTATATATAGAGTAACTCCGGTATATACGCCGCGCTGGGATTTACACCGCGGAAGTCAGAAAAAATAGAAGGAGTGGGGGTAATTTTCTCGCAACTACTCTGTTACATG